CGCCTTGTATTATCAACTAGTTTATAATCGTTGGGGTACGTTCAATCGTCTAGTATCCGACCGGACTACCTCATATCCCACAAATTTACCCCATTCTCTCATTACTCCCACAACTATAAACGGTGTCAAAACTAAATTCGAAATGACTGGAGATGGGTAGCTGGCGCGGCCAAAACTATATATGTGTGTGTTTATTTTGCCAGTTTACAGGCATTTAAAAAAATGGTGCTAATTGGTAAAGAACCTCTTGGGCGCCTTCCAAAACTTCGAAGACAGGAAAAAACCTAAAACATGCTTCCCCCTTTTGCAGTCAGTATTGGTTTTGTTTCAATTTTGTGTTTTGTCAATACTGGGTGAAATAGAGAGTTTGTTTCAAGTAAAAAAAGAAACTGACTTCAAAAGAACGATACAAACGGGATGTATGTACAGTTATAAACTGAGTTGACAGCTTAGCAGAAGAAAAGCTGCAGATCATTTAGGGACATTAGTTCGGGACGGGGAGGGTTGGCACAAGACACAGTGTTCTCAGTCTTCCTTGAATGTTTGTCGGCAAAAGTTGCTCACTGTCGGCCGAAGAATAAGCCGATTGCGAACCGCAGCTTCAGCAGCATTATTTTCAGCATGAGGCCTGGCAGGTTTCAAAGTCCACGAAAGCCATCAGAGTGAAAGAGAGATTCCGCCGAGTCAGCATCCAAATTCGTGAAAGTTGTCCTGATTGTAGAAAACTAGTGATATTTCTCTTAAACGTAGGATAGCTTTGCTAACTTTTAATACTTCTGGGCAGCTTATTCCTGATTGTTATGGCGTTTACTGAAAAGAAGTGACGGTACTTAACTGTGCGTGTCATAGGAAAAAATAAAAATGCATCTCAAGGACTGGCGCGTCGAGAGTGCTCGAGCTGCCTTATGGTACTTAGGGGATTAAAGGTACGACCATTCAAAAGTTTAAATAGTAAAAATAGACCCTTCTGTAGTCTACGAAGCCACAGGGGGTTGAGCTTTATCCGTTCACACCGTTGTTGGTAGGCTAAGTTACGATTTTCTGAAGTGAAAACTCTTTTTGTGAAGAAGTGCTGGACCGCTTCTATTTTCTTTCGTTCACTATTGCGCAGAGAACTGAATAGGGGCGAGCAGTATTCAAGACTAGGTCTCACGTACATATTATAAAGGCTAGTTCTACCCGCTTCAACGACACATTACTAGGCTCCCGCTTACATGGGGGCTGCCTTAAAGGAGCCAATGCAGCCTGACTCACAGTCCACCAATCAGCCACTCCACACC